TTTTTATCCACTATAGTTTTTATAAGTGCCCTGTAAGTGTCAACATAGTTGTTCTACGATAAACCATGAGATTCAGAAGAGTTATTCAACTTGGATAATTTGAGCATCACTTGTGTTTGTTGCTAAGAATTCTCACACATCATCATCTTTGGTATTAATTGGTGCCAATACTAGACAAATGTAAACAAAATAGCAAGTCTCACCAGATCTGTATATTTGTTTATTTGTAAAACAAAATTATAATTCCACAGATGAAATCTTAAGCCTTCAAATTTGCAGCAAATTCTTTAATGAATTACTGTATCATTGAAAAGTGAAACTACCATGATTTATTTTACTGACTTTCCATCCAGCAGGCATGTGTGTTAGCAGTATCATCTGTACAACGTTCTGCTTCTTCAGTTAATGCAGTACAGTAACTTACTTGGGTAGGATGCCTACATGGCTTTTTTACTTTTAGTTTAAAAAGGTTTAGTAGTTTTTGAATTTTTAAAGAAGTCATCACATCTGCATTTAAAATAATTCTTTTTTTTTCCCCTGAGTAGTCTCAGAATGCCACTATAACTTAACTAGCACAATATAATTAGCAAATGCTCTGTTGCTTAAGATACAGTAAAGTAAATTATTAACATCTATAAAGCCAAGAGGATGGCTTTTTGTCATACTTTGTTTTTTTATTTACAATTTTCCCAGTTTCTTTGGAGTAGATTCTTTCCATGAGTCAGATACCTCTAGGCCAGTTGCATCTTTTTTTAGTATCTTTAGATATAATCTTCCTTTTTTGAACTAGTGATTCATTTTTAAATAAGAGAAAAGTTACAAATAAAATTTCTTTTATTTTAGATAATATTGAAATAAAATAATACATTTTAGATATGACTTAAAATTAAGAAAAGTTTTCAAAGTGTTATTTTTATATATTTAAAAATATTAAAAATATTATTATAGAGCAAAGTAACAAAAAGTACTTATTTCTACCTAGATGCATGGAGAACTTCAAATTTTACAGTAATTTATTTGACAATAATGAGATTATAGAAATCATAGCAAGTATTACTAAAGGTAGCTAGTGAGCACAACAGAAGTACTGAGAAGGAAAAAATTTGAGAGGTTGAATTATGCCCTAAACCTAGTACCATAGAAAATGCTAGAAAACATAAGAATACAGAAGTATATGTTCCATTAGCCATCAAAGTGATATCACATGTCATGTGGTCTCAGGAGAACTCCATTGTACATTCATGAAAGAATGAGAATGAAAAAGGCAAATAATTTTAGTATTATTATGAAATTAGTTTTTGCTTCATGGACTAGGCCCTCAAAGGGTTTTGGAGACTGTGAACTATATTGTGCAAAGTGCTATCCTAAATTATTTCTTTCGTACCTAGGGTTTCCATTACTAACTCTGTGCTAGTGACACTGTCATTTATATCTGCAGCCCAGATTACACCGCCAAGTGTTGGATTTATAAATCCACTGTCTGCTGAATTACCTGGATTGCTTCCTTAACTTGGTGCTCTCTTAACTCTTTGGCCTTTGCACATGCTATTTGTTTTGCCCAGAATTTTCTTATTTCTTTTGTTCACTGGGAAAACTACTGAGTTGTGGGCCTGCTGGGGGCAGAGACTGGGCATCTTTATATCCCCAGATTTTAGCAGAATGCCTAGCACTAGGCTGCTTAGTAAATGTTGTTGAGTTAAATTGAATCAGGGAAGAATACCAGCTTCATAAACAACAAATTTACAGTTCATTCCAGGGTAAAGTTTTTTCTGCTTTATGTCTGATCTCATTTATTCTCATTTGTATTAGCTTCAGTTTCAGAGAAAAGGAGTTCATAACCTACCCCAAATTTAGGACAGATAATGTTATATATTAACTGGCCCAACAGTTTTTGTTTTGTTTCCTTTTGCTTTGTCTAGGGCATAAGATATTCTGAAAAGAAGATATTTAGGCTGAGGACTCAACATCTTAAGTTTTAGCTCACTCTCTGACTATTGAGGATATTTCACAGACACTTAGCATCTGCTTTTCTCCATTAAAATCACCTGATTTCCACTACTGCTAGTGGTGGAGAAAATGTAAACTACATATGTGTTAGTTTCTCTGAAGGAAGATGTTCTAACATCCAGATGATAACTAACATTTACTAAGTTCTTAACTACATGCCAGAGATGATTCTAAGTGTTTTACATATTTTAACTCATTTAACATGCATAACAGTAGAAGAGGTAGATTCTTTTATTATCCTCATTTTAAGAAAATGAGATACAGAAAAAGTTAAGTAACTTGCCAAAGGTTGCATAGATTGTAATAGGGTCTGGTTATGAACTCAGAGCTTAATTTGGCGCCAGAGTTGTGTTGTTAACTACTGTAAGTAGCTTCCTCTCAAATTTAAATACATTACTTTTATCATTAACCTATGTTAGTACATATGCACAGATGCTCATTATAGCATTATTTATAATTGTGAAATTGAAAATAACTTGAGTACCTAAATAAGTAATGATATATATGTACAATGGATAGTTATTTAAAAATCTCATTTTTGAGGAATAATTAATGATACGGAAAAATACATTAGGTTGAAAGGGTAAGATAAAAAAGCAGTCTTTGAGAAGCATATATAATGGATTTGTATATTACATATACTTATATATACAGATATTTTAAAAGACTAAGAAGAATTATAATAATGATTCTTAGTACTGCAGTTGTAAGAAATTGAGTTAAAAATACTTTAAAAGGAACATTTGTTAGATATGTCTCATGTGCTAGATGCCATATTAAATTTTTTACATGTTTCCTCAGTGAATTCTTCCATGAGTCTCATGTTGCAGGTACTACTCATTTTTTGGGCTAAGAAACTGAGGCCTAGGAAGTTTAAGTAACTTGTCTAGGATCATATAACCAATAAATGGAAGAGTCGATACCTCTACTTTAGATTCTTTGTTTTATATTTTCTAAACTTTTTATAATTTATTATTTACATAACCAAAAACAATATTAATTTAAAAAATTATGCAAACATTGGGCCCTACAACAAGTCAGGCTTGTACAATCTGGTAGAATTTATTCATTTGAACCATTGTGTCCCTGAACTAGCTATGCAAAATAACAGAAGCATAGGACTTGAAAGAAATTAGACCAAGCATTTAAAAAGTTAAAATAGACTCAGTGGTTTCTATTCTACCAATAATTTTTTTGACCGTCTACTATAGGGAACTGATTTTTTTTTCTGGTATGGGTGGCAGGTAGTAGTAGTACCCTTTAGTAAAGTGAAATCTGTTATATATGTGTGTTACAGGTTAATTAATATATAAGGCTGAACATTTTTATGACTGTTTAAGTTGTTTGCTAGTAGTTGTTGTGACTGTGGTTGTGGTTGCTAGCAATCCCTTTTCTCTTTTATCTCAGTGAGGTAGATAGATGTGGCCAAGTACCCGAGGGAAAAGATTTTTTTGTATGTGAATATGTGGAAGCCTCCATGGGCACTGTAAGAGGATTTTTCTAATATAAACGTTTATCTGTAGTTGACAAATATATTTAATGAGTTAGAGATGTTCAGTGAGCATCTGTAGTTTTCAAGAATAACATCGATCAAAGAAGGGAACTGTAATTTTTTTCCTACAATTATCCCATTGTCAAAGAGTGACGAATAGGCTAAATGGGATGATTGATTGACCTCACAACATACTCATATATTCTTACAGTAAGAGACTCCTGACTCATATTTTTTAATTGAGGAATATGTTGTAGCAGGAAAACACATCTACCTATAAACCTTTTTCTAAAGAACTATTAGAGAATTTTTCCTCTGCAACGAAGTTAATTTGGAGAGGACAACACATGGAGTTCAAAGAAGAAAATGCCCACCTACTCATTTCTGTTACATAAGTAGACCTTGTCTATAGAGGGGCAGACTAATGTTAGTGAATCAGTAAATGATTACATATGTCACACACACACATACCCTATATACGTCATCTGTGAAATACAGAACAGGGATGTGTGGAGGATTGGGTCAAGTGTAAAAAGGGACCTCAGAATTTATTAAGTGAATTGCTCCCTTTAAAATATATACGGCTACTGAAAATCAAGAAGGGGAATAAAATTATTTCACTGAAGAAAACTAGGAACATTTTTTTTTAAAGAAGTAACTCTTCCCACCCTTTTCTTCTTATTGTCACCTTTTAAAATCCAGCAAAAATAATTGAAACATTTCCAGATTATTCTGTCCACTGATCTGGGTAATCCTGTTGCTTTCAGCCATAAAACTTACTATAGTCAAGTGTAATACAAGGAATTTCTTTTGCTGGCTCTGTTCCTTTATTGGTACCTTCAGTACTGAGCAGGGTGCTTGACTGGCCTACATCCTCAGAAATCCCTCAGTACTAGGCAAACCAGGAAATTGGTCACGTTAATCCAGTGTGTGTAGTACACTGTAGGCATGGAGCTTGGTGGGGTGGGAAATGTAAGAAGGGAGGAAAGTGATAGAAATGAGAAGTCCTGAAGTATGAAGAGATTATTTTCTTTTGAAGAATGTTTGCTATAGCTAAGAAAATAGGAAAATCAGTAAGCCAGTAACTGTGTGCTTAGTAATGAATTACAGATGAATATTAAATGGACCCCTGTGTTTGGTCCTGCCTTCTTCAGTACCCATGTCAAAAGACAAGTTGGGAAATAATTGGAACACCATAATGATTTTGAGCCCTCTTTGGATATAGAAGAATGTTCTGCATTCAGGGGTTTTTGTTCTAGGTGTATTCTTTCCTCTCTGGGTAACTTTAGGAAGTGGAGATGTGAACATTTTAACATTTCATTTTTACTTTCAAATTTTACTTGCCTTTATGCAATTACCACTTTAAATATTATTTGTCTTTATCTATAGTTAATACTTAGGGTAAGACTTCCTGTACTATACCCGGCAGACCAATTTTGGGTTTTACTTTGCCTTCGTGTCTTTCTCCTGTTAGCCTTATTCTTGGTTTCTTATCTTACAGAGAGGTGTGGGAGATGGAGCTGGATAGACTCAAGAATCAGGATGGTGAAATAAATCGGAACATTATGGAAGAGACAGAACGGGCCTGGAAGGCAGAGGTGAGAAGAGCTGCTACGTTGAAGGCCTTGATTTTGGGCTTCCAGATGGTGTATCTTTTCAGTATAGTATTACACCACTAAGCCATATAAATATTATACCATATAGGCACTAAGCTTTTGCATTTGTTTTAACTTTCTAGGGGTAGCTTTGTGTATGTAAAATTAATAAAAAATTTGTGTGTGTGGGTGTGTGGGTGTGGTTTCCTTAGATCTTATCACTAGAGAGCCGGAAGGAGTTGCTGGTACTGAAGCTAGAAGAAGCAGAAAAAGAGGCAGAATTGCACCTTACTTACCTCAAGTAAGTATCTTCCCATTCTAGAATTTTAACAGTCCTTCCGTTTTGTGTTTGTTTTTCGTTTTGTTTTTTTTAGGTTTGAAATCCTAGGCCAGCTACTCTGTTACTTATTCTGTCTTCACAGGAATTTCAAGGTCATCTCGGTCTGTGTAGTAGTAATTGTTCAGTGATTTGTTTTCCCGTATTCTAAACTTCCTCATTCTCTAACTCTTCCTTTCTACAGTTTTTTAGTTCTGTGTTTTCTATTGTATTATTTCCAGTTGTATAAACAGTATCTTTTATGCTGTCAAAGCATAACAGATATCTTTGAAGATTTGTTTCTTATGTAGTCTTTTCTCCTCTTTTTGCCTTGGAATCTGGAGGACCCTGTGGCATTTTTAGGCAGACAAGAACCTTGTCTCTGTGGTTGGTCTTCTTTCTGCAATACTTGGCTTAGGAGATGCTGTAATTAAAGTGAGAGAAAGGCCTAAATCCTTGGCCTTCTCTTGCATCTGGTTCAGTCTTCTCTCTCCAGCTAGTATATGCTATCTCAGAGAGTTAGGAGTTAGGCATTCTTTAATTCTGTAAATTCCTGTTGGTTCCTTGAAAGGTCAACTCCCCCAACACTAGAGACAGTTCGTTCCAAACAGGAGTGGGAGACAAGACTAAATGGAGTTCGGATGATGAAAAAGAATGTTCGGGTAAGTGTACTAGTGGGTGATCATTGAGTCTGAGTTAATCTGTGCTTAAACATTTCTGGTGATAGGGAGGGATGTCTTGCCTTGCTGCTTAGGGCCTATTCTACCCCTCCCTTTGTTTTCTTCATATTGGATGGTATTCTCTTTCTAGAGAGGTTCACCCAACTAAGCAGTAAAGAATGATCCTTTCCTTTCTTTTCTAGGACCAATTTAATAGTCATATCCAGCTAGTGAGGAATGGAGCCAAGCTGAGCAGCCTTCCTCAAATCCCTACTCCCACTTTACCTCCACCCCCATCAGAGGTAAGAATGCTGGTTTTGGGGGTCAACCTTTCTGTGCTGGTGGCAGCATCCATCTTTCGCTTGTTCTTTGTAAGAAGATACTGGTTTTACTATTATGTTATTATTGGTATTATTCGGTATAAGAGTTGTTCATTTGATTCTGCTCCAGTTTCGTAAACTTTCATTTTCTTCCTTTCAT